AGAACCATCCATCGTCCACATTGCAAAAATTGGGCGACTACGGTGGGCTGGGCACGTCGTAAGAATGCCGCACGACGACCCAGTGAAAATGGTTCTAGAAAGCGACCCAACAGGAACAAGAAGAAGAGGCGCGCAGCGGGCAAGGTGGATCGACCAAGTAGAAGGTGACCTGCGGACCCTTCGCAGACTACGAGGCTGGCGAACTGTGGCCATGGATCGAGTAGAGTGGAGACGACTTCTTCGGACAGCAGAGGACAACAAGGCCTTAGCCTGATTGGTAAGGTAAGGTATATTATCAAGGTAATGTTAATTCAGGATTAATCACTGATTACGTCATACAAGCCCCAACGACCGAGAACCGTCTTGGCCTTGTCCTTGCAACTGGTGAGGGACATGTTTCCTGTACATTTTTCAATGCAACTTTAAAGTTCTCTCGCAAATCCAGATCGCAACAAAATTCGTTCAAATTAGGCGTAATTGTTAAGAATCACCTTAGTGGGTAAAATCATTGGTATAGTGCGGGTTCTATCTAATTGAATGAACCTTCTGATAAATTGTTCCTCGACATCCCTCTTCAAAATGACGTTTGAGTACTTTTTAATCATGTAAGAGAAAATGGTGGCTTCAGCAATACCTGTACCAATCATCGTCAGAGGCAAGAGGTTGGGTAAATAAAACTCTTGAGAGCTCATTTTTCATCCTTTTGCCGTCATCCTTTTGCCGAAAATGAGCGCTCAAGGACTTTATTTACCTCCAGACGATCATAGTTAATGAATAAGATTACACCGGCATCCTATGAAACCAGTTAGTATACATCAGTCAAAGAAACATGTGTCAAAATCGATGCAAGCACGAGATAAATCGCACATTTTTCCGCATTCATGGAAACGCATTGTTTGCTGAGAAAAAAAAACCTGCCGACATCCAGCATCCGCCAATAGATCTCAGAACTTGCACACATCGCCTTGAATGCCAAATGCCACACTATAATTGCCGGCTTCCTCCGGGTCGGGCGTCATTCCATCAAACGCATATGAGTTTATAGCTCGCTGCTGATACCTACAAGTACTTATCATAGCAACCGATTGAATCGCATTCCTTAGTTTCTCGATTTAATCACAGCAACCAGCTACTCTTCCATACGACTCTACTAATGAGCTCTGTTAAACATTGGTGTGCAATTGAGTGTCGCTTTTGCCTTCTTTTTTATCGCAAATCATATGCGTCCTTGTCAAGATTACGTGAATCACATGCGACAGACACTTGCGATTTCTTTCCGCTCCGCTAATCTATACTGTTGGCTTTGTAAATATATTATTTGCTTTGCACTTGGTCAACCGACTTTTGGGTGCCCCGGGAAGTCACGTCCGCAATTGGAATACAGAGTAAGAGTTACGAAAAAACTGAAATTCCAACTTCTCACTCCCATGATTCACACACTTCCACAAACGACATTGGCAGTGTGCGATGGCACCTTAAAATGCCGGCGTGGAAAGAGAGAGAAAGAGGGGGGGGAAAGGCAGAAAGATAACGTATTTAGCTAATCTAAGCAGGCCGACGACGAAGCTACCAGCCAATGTGGAGCCACGTTTTCGAGACCAAGCGCGATAGAATTGAGTTCGATTATAAAAAAAATAAATAAAACGGTAACGTAAATCCATTTGCTTTGGAAAAAGAAGAGGTCATCGCTAGTTTACTTGCAGTCAGTTGATTGATTGGGTAACCAAAGCACATCGCATCGCACTTGAGGTGAACCAATAAACTCGGTGCGGACAGTCAATAATAACAAGTAAACAAATTTCAATGCGTCACGTACGTAGGTAACCGATACTTATTCTCTTTTATATACAACACATGTCAGAGTTGCACGGTGATCTTGGGAACTTGGACGCATTAAAACGGGTGCCCTGCATTCGTAAATACCGTGATTAATCCGTGGGAGACGGTCAATTTTCGGTAGCTTCACGTGGTTTAGGGACGGCACTTCGTACCGCAGTTGGAGATGATCGACGGCCGACCGACGAGGTCTGTTGCTTATCACGCTTGCCTGGCTTTTCGGTAAACAGATCTATGTGCTAGCGAGCGCAGTAAGTCGTCTGTAGATTATCGCGACGACCGATGAGCTCTCATCATCATCAAAGTGAGCTGCGCTGCTAACTGGCGAAGCAAAGTAGGCACTGCCGGGAATGAGAAACACGAGAAGATCAACGTTCGTTCAAAACGGACAGTGCGCGCATGTCACGGGCGCTCTTCTGCTGATAAGAGATTCTCGGTTTCTAGGAAACATGCCGGTGTGTTTGTCGACGGGGAAAAAAATTGATGAACTACTCGTCCAAGTTCACTTGGACGACGAGTCCGGAGAGCTAGATATGGGTTCGTTGGTATCCAATGGTGAAAGGTACATGTTGCACCTATCTTCTAATTTGAAGACCGTATAGGGGGTATCTGCCTAAAATCAGGACAAACTCACTCACCATAGCAATGCGAGTGAGTGAGTTGTATCGATTTATTTATCAGTTGCAGTGATGTTCTGATACGTGACTTAAGTCTACTAGTGACCTTCATGTGCCTTTATCTATAATCTGTAGGTACTAAATAAACAAAGCATGTAACCAGGGCACTACATTTTTGAAGCTCTGAAGTGAACTCGAGTTTTGTTTTCTTTCATGCAACGTGTTTAATGTTCAATTTACTTTCATGCTTTTTGGAAAATTTCAAAAGCAGTTTTTTTTCGACGCATTATTTCAGATTGCAAAAAGCTCGCGCTATTCGATTCCTTTTGATATTTTACACAAAATGACGCGAGGTTTTTTGCAATCTGAAATAATGCGTCGAAAAAAACTGCTTTTGAATTTTTAAAAAATGCATCAAAGTAAATTGAACCTTAACGCATCATTTTTATAAAGCCTAGCTAGCCCATCAGCGCGAAACGAAAATGAAAAATGAAGCCCGCTTAGAACGAAACGATGGTTGTGGATTTTCCCGTCTTTGCTTTGCTCACCCCTTTCAATGAAAGTAACGACCATTTTCAAGTTGAAACGAAGCTTCATTTTGGCTTTCAATTCCGTTCACCGACACTCTGTTACCTGTTCTGGCAAGTTGTTCAATATCCGTAAAGTCCCGTTTTACTTTTTTTTTATATGTTTTATTTAAGATAAATATGTGGATTTAAGATTAATTAAACATATTACGTGTAATGTTCAAGTGTTTTCTCGTGAGAAATGCTTTAAATATATATATTTTCATTTTCCGATGCAACCGGAGACGAAGGGTGCCCAATATTTCAAAGATCTATGGTCTTTACCTAAGGAATTACAGAAGCACAGGGAAGTTACGGGAGTATAATTTGATTTCAGAGAACTTTGAAGTAGTTCGGGCAACATTATAAAAGTTCAGGGAAATATCGTAGCCACTCACAGAACTGTGTTGAAGATGAAGAAACTGTTTAGCAGTACTGCAAATGATATGGAAGTTTGGCTAACTTTCTTGAAACTCTGCGAACTTTGTAGAACTTCAGCGAATTCTCTAGAAGTGCAAAGACTTTTGTAGAAGTTCAGTAAATTTTTGTCGAAGTTCCGTTAAGTTTGTAGAACTTCATCGGCTGGAACTTCCATATTTTTTGATGGGAAAAATTAAGATTAATGGGTGGTTGTTTCGGCTTTAAATCAGTTCAGATCTGTAGATAATCGAAAAATAAGACCACTCCCGATGGAAATTTGCAATTTGTGCAATAACATGTACATTATTTTATATTTTGAAAATCTTTATTATGATGTAAACAAATGGATTGGATGACATTTCCTCTCAAAATCAACTAGCGCACTCTACATTCATGATGCATGAAAAGAGTCTATTTCTGTCCATCTGTTGTTTTTCCAAGACTTCAGGTTAATCAATAAGTGTTCAAAACTTCAAATGGCGTTTCTGAGATATTCTCCGAATATGACTTCAGATTGATTAAGAATAATTCTAGAGATCTTCAACTCTTCAAACGTTTAAATGACGTCTAACAGATATTCCCTCGTAAGATGACAAGTTGGTCAGGTTGTATTGAAAACATCTCCAGGTAGTCGCAAATTTCAGTTAAGAACTGTTAGTTTTTATTTTTTCAAGACTTCAACTTGTTCAAGAGAGAGAAATTAAAGCAAATTCGCTGGAGATTTATTGAGATAATGTGATATATGTACACACTAAAATTGTATTGCCGAGATTCCAACAGGCGAGAAGTAACTTGCAGAGATATCAGCAAAAGTAAACGCAGAAGTAATTGACTGTTGGAGATTTTACCGAGCTATATTGAATGTGTAGACCAGGGTGTCCCAAAAAAATGATTTTTCGAAAAGCTAGTTTGCTCTCAGCTAGAATGGTAGATTAGGCTGTTGGAAACAATAGTCACATACATACATTTTCAGTAACAACATTTATTAATGCCCAACAGAATAGTTAATAGAAAATGGCAATTAAAAAACGTAAAACGCGCTTTTGCAATAATTTCTAGACCCTAATTGTTACGATCAATCAATCTCTTTGGAATTGCGAGTACTGCATATAAATGGTTTGAAAGCTATTTGTCTGACTGAGCTTAACGAACTGTTTTTAATGATTCTGTTTTCAGTCCCGTGTAGAATAATCTTGGAGTGCCCCAGGGAAGTGTATTAGGGCCCCTGTTATTTATCATGTATATTAGACCTGTTCATTTTAAACGAAATGTTCGGAATGTAACGGGTCAACCGTGATTAATGATCGTCATGTTAATTTGAACTTCTGTGCAAATTTTCAGCAAAATCGGTGATGATTTAGAGGTGCTTCAAGTTAATTTTATGTTATTAAGGTAATTTACGGCTTATAATATTTGTATCTCGAGACTGAAACAACGATTGTCATTTATCCAGAAGTCTTAGATGTAATTCCTAAATAAATTAACATTTCCATATGCCATGCAGTAACGGACTAACTTCACTCATTTCAAAAGCACTTCGACCTTCAAAGATTCTACTTACTCTATATCGCTAATCCCGGCCCGGTTCTCCTCCTCCAGCATGGCATCGAGTTCGTCCGTCAGGTTGGCCAGCATGTTGCCGATGTCGTTCAGCACGTTGGTCCCGACGACTCCAACCTGTGCGGCCACCGTCGTCGGCGACGTGCTGGCCGAGCCCTTCACACTACCGTTGTTGCTGTTCCCGGCCGTTTTTGAGCAATTGGACGACGACGACGGAGTTTGGGGATCCGCCTGCGGTGGCGACAGCTGCTGGATGCAACCGGCCAGGGTCGTGGTGATCGAACCCGTCGACGACGAGGACGACGTCGATGACGACGAGTGGGACAGCATGTGCTGCATGGTATGATGATCGGGGCCGCACCGGTTCATCGAGCGCTGCTTGATCGTGCCGGCGTTTTCGTTCGCAAAGGGGATCTGATCGATCGACTCCAGGCTGGAGTTGCTCTTGTTGTCATGCTGGGTTTTGTGGATCTCCACGGTCGTTTGGTGCGTCTGGCCGGCGTAGTTGGAGTAGAATTGTTGCTGTTGTTGTTGTTGCTGCTGCTGCTGCTGTTGTTGTTGTTGTTGTTGTTGTTGTTGCTGCTGTTGCTGCTGTTGTTGTTGTTGGAGGATGATTTGATTGTGGTAGATAGGTTGAGGTTGTTGGCTAGGGGGTGTGGGGTTGTATTTCAGCGGATGGTGGTTGAAGGACGTGTAATTGGAGAAATGCATGGCGTCTAGGGCGGCGGTGGCCATTTCGACGTTTTCGATGTGGCCGATGGAGATGGGATTCGGGTAGGGGGGAGCTGGTCCACCATCCGAAGTGGGTGCCAGTTTGAGATTATTTGCTACAATTTTCGCTATCGGTCGTTGTCGTTGGGTGGTGCTGGTCGGGTTTTGACAGAGGGTTAATCGAACACCGTAGCTGTTGCGTTGGTGCTGTCGAGGCAGCGTGCCGCCACCCTGGTAGTATTGCTGATGGTTGACGGCGGTTGTCGTCGTCGTCCCGTGATGTTCGCCGCTCATCAACGATGACATCTCGTTCGTTGGAGTGATGTCACTGTCGTCGTACGAACTGCGACGGTAGATTGCTTGGTTACCGTCGAAGTGAACGTGAGGATACGAGATCTGTTGCTGGGGCTGGGGAAGGTGCTGTTGACAGTAGTATGGATCGGTTCCCGGAACGGCCGGTTGCCGCATGAAGGTCGAATAGGTTAGCTGTTTGGGCTCAAGGGATTCATCGAACTGCGGGCCGCGCATTGGTTGACAGTGAAGGGCGGCCGTCGTTGGTTGAGGCAGTGGCATGGCGGTCCCTACGTAAGCAGGGACGCCCAGCTTTCCACTGATGATATCTTTCACGCGCTTAATGGCGAGTAGAATCTTCTTTTGATGGCCGAGTTTTACGATTCCTATATCTTCTAGATCTTCCCACGTCAGCTGCGTGACATCGTTAACCGTTTCGTAACCCTGGGCTAGCAGGGGCTGGACGTATTCCTCCAGTCTCAGCAACCGCAGCCATTCCTCGATCGAACCGGGAACGTAGTTGGGCAAAGTATCAGGTAGTTTCAGCACATCAATGTGTCGCTTCAGTCTTTCTCGATGGGTCGGTTGCTTGATACCGATCGCCGTCAGATCTTCCGGAGTCATACGTGCTATCGTCGGTAGATCGTATCCCGCCTCCAGGAATAGGTAAGTATACTCGTGAAAATGGACTTCCATCAGCCATTCGGAAATGATGTCGTGATCGCTGCGATTGGAGTGATTGCTTAGCCGATTACCGCTGCCGATCGAGCACGAGCTGACCGAGCAGCGTGGAGAATTGAGCGTTCCATAGCCACCGGCACTGCGATTGGAAGATGTGGATGCTCCCGTTAGGTAGGAAGACGCTCGACCCGAGTCCAAACTGGCCGTCGAATGTCGCGAACCGGAACCAGCCGATCCAGACAGACTGATCGGACTGTCACGACCGGGCGACTGCGTGAGATCAATTCCTTGATCATCGGCAAAGTCCGTATGATCGTAGCGTAACATCAGCGACGAGGGCGTTTCCTGATGTATGATAAAACCTCCGTTATCGTCCACTGAGTTACCACCGGCAACAGACGCTGCTGTTGCGTAAGCTGCCACCTGCAAATGTGTCGCCGCTCCGGCACCGGTTGTCGTTCTTCCGTAGGCGTCCGGAACAGCCGGTGGCATCACCTTCTTCACTTGAGGTGCCTGTTTGGATTGTCTTGACATTACTCCCGTGTTGACACTTAGCTTTCGCATTGTAGTAGCAGACACATGCGGCCGGAACTGGTATGCAAATGAAAGGAAAAAACCGAACGGAAACTAAGAAAATAACTGCTCCACCTGCCGCTCATCCACATTGGAATACGGCGACGAGTCACACTTCCCGATAAAATACTACTATCGGAAATATGAAATACTTTCAACCACTGCAGTTCCACTCTATTCCTCTGATTTCTTCTTCGCCGTCTCTCGCTCTTTTCCAGTGCACGTAATTTTACGGTTCTGCCTTCACCAAGACAACCGAAGACGCAAATCTCCGCTCACTAAAAAAAAAAAACTCGACAAATTTGTATGTCATTCAGTGGTCGATTATCTTCGCTTCCAATAGCACATTTTCTTATTAGTTTTCCACTTGATCTTATTCGATGCTCATGCACTTTCTTGCCGTGTGTTTCAATGGGACAAAACAGCACTCATACACACAAACACAAAACAACACACAATAATTGGAACTGCGAGAGCAACCTTTGCTTGCTATCTTGCACTACGAACTCGCCACACAGTGTTATGTAAATATTATGATTCAAACGTCACTGTCCACTCCGGGCTGGACCCGTCACGGGACGCTTTCGGGACGGAACTAGCCTTGGCACTGTCGCCCGAGGCCACTTTCCCACCGGAACTGGCCCTTTTCTGCCTTTTTCCCGAGCAGATGGCAAATGCAAACGTAGGTGTTATGGCTTCATTTTGTTCCGCTTTCCTTCTCCTTCTTCTCTTCGCCGAACGCCTCCTGATCTAATGCCCGACGAAGGCGACGTCGTCGTCGTCGCCACTGACTGACTCAACTGCTGCTGCAAGCCTTTGCGTGTATACGTGCATTCGATTCTTCGATCAGCAATAAATTGCCCGAGCCGTGCTCCTCCGTCGTCCTCGAATGCAAATTATCAATTTCTCCGCACTCGCGCACACACTGGATCTCTAGCGGCCAATTGGGCTCAATTAAAATCTTGGAACTTGGAAGACACTTTTCCTGCTACAGCTACTGCTCCATTTCACTTCTGGAAAAGCTGGCTCTCTTTCTCTCCGACGAACGACTTTTGCTGCTGCTGCTGCTGCCACTGACTACACGGCCGTCTGTCGCCGTCTTCGCCTACGTCGTCGTAGTAGCAGTGTGTACTGACTGTAGTACTCGTCGTCGCCGTAGTTTCTTTTTTCTTTTCCTTTTTTTTTGGACAAACAAGCGCCTCTCAAACAGGAGAACTCTGCGCTCCTCTGGACTGCTTACTCGCCTATGCCCGTTTGTGCGAGCGTGAAAGAGGAAGAACTAAATACACGGGAAAAATGGAGTTTTTACGTCTGGCGATAGAGCGCCTACAGATTTTCTACTCTACTGTCTGCTTCGTAATGGGTTTCCTCTTCCTCCTTCTCCTCTGCTTCTTCTTCGATTACACTGCCTTCTGACTGCACTTTTGACCTCAAAATGGGGCGATTTCTGCGCCCCAAAACTAATCGTTTCTGGTTCTTCTCCACTGAGAAATAATTGCTCCGTTATCTCGCACTGAACAACTTCACCATTCTTTTTATCCAGAAATTCCTACTGGATCCGCCAGTGCCTGTTGTGACGACGATGGGTAGCGAAATGAAGCAAAAGAATGGGAAAAACGGGAAAGAAAATCACACGAACGCACGAACCGCGCGCGACCAGCCAGCTCGGTGATCGGACCGAAAATACGACTTTTCTTTTTTCCTTCCTACGACCTGACGACTCCTGGCTCCGTCCGATCTCCATCCAATAGGACGGCGACTACGTTTCCATCTCGCTCGCTCTCGTACGTTCGTGTATACGACGATTGATTCCCAGTATTATTCGAGTCGGTGGTCGAAAATGGTGGCTCGACGACAAACGAAGCAATCGATGGTCGCACAATCTGACAGATGGCATGTTGCCTCCGGGTTGACGGACAGAATTCGGAGGTACACTGAACGGAAACATCCGCAATACTTCGAATGATTGTTGCATTGCCCGAGCCCTGCGGCAATATGCTTTCGAATTTCGGTTGATTGTCTTAGGCCGACAACATAGTAGAAGCGATTCGAAGCGATTCGATGCGATAGCAATTGGCAAAGCGAAATGCAGCGGCAAGCGAAGCAACCTAGGACATAGTGAAAGCGTTTTTGAAAACATTACAGTCGCGCGCGCAGTGCAAAATATTTGTTCAAATTTTCGGTGTCCATTTTTCCTCACTAGAATCAGTCCACTTGCGTTCGAAGGCGTCAAAACACAACACGAACAGCTCTGTCGCTTTGCTGAACGCTTTACACCTCTTCGCATCGCTTTCACTATGGCTGGTTTGGGCGATTCCCATAGAACGCTCATAGAGGGTGCTTTCACGCAAGCGCTCCGCTTATTGCCAACGAATCGAATCGCTTCGAATCGCTTCTACTATGTTGTCGGCCTTATGGTTGAATTCGTCGTCAGCTGATTAGCGTCCGTATGGCTGTCATTCAAATGATGGATGATGTTTATTTTGAAATTTAGAATTCGACTGATCATTCTATTCTACATTTCCATAGTGAATAGCCATGGCCAGTTATTTCATCATGAATATAAAAATCTTCCGTTGGTGGACGTGTAAGTCTCAGCCACCTCAGTCAGGAGCACTTCTGAGACTCCCTGACTCCAATGGCCTCAGGGTCGGCACGCTTACCGAACTAGGTTTCCACGTGGCAAGGAATGATCGCACTTGGTACAGTAAAAACTCCTACAGCACTTCACTTTTCAAAACTACCACTTTTACTGTCGGATTCTACTGACACTTTTATTCCTCCCAGGCGTATGTACTACTCCCACTTTATTATTTTCTATCTGACCTGTTTCTGTTGTCTTTTACTTCGACGACTGCTTCGCTCGGCTCCACGTTCCACCTTCTTCCTTTTCTCCTTTGGTGGCGTCGGATACCTCTTTTGCGCGCTACTGAACTTCCATCGACACTTCTGATGCTGGCTGGGCCACCGAGTATGTTGACGGACTCGGTTCGGCGGATCGTACTAGAATTATCCTTATTAGCTTACCGGTACCTCTACAAGGTATACCTCAACGATAGTGTAGAAAAATTACAACGGGGTCCTAACAGACAAACGGTTTACATTAGGCCTTTTGAACCAAAATGGTGATTCTGGGAATTTACCTGCTGTCCGTTCCTTCCACTCACTCTCCTTCACTTTCCTTTCACTATCTTCTAGTAACTTACGTCTGCTCAGTAATGTTTTCTAGGGTCTAGGCTTTGCCTTGTTTGATTATTTAACCAGAGACTTTATCGACCGTTTAACTCGATGGTTGATTGATGATTAACCTGATCGGTGTATGTAGCCTAAAGAGACGTTCTTTGGGTCACTGTCTTTTGACTATTGGTCAGCGACCCAGGCCATTCGTTTTCCATCGCCAATCATCGTGTCCGTTATGCCGTTCATAATGACCTTTTTGTCGCCACTTCTCATGGCCGCCTAACATGCTGTTTTTACTCCATCTGGTGGTGGGTTTTGTAGACTTTGGTGGGTGGATGGCTGCGTATTATGGTAGGCTGCTCTACTCTGGCCTACCAGGGAGATTTACTGACGGAGAAAAACTGCGCACATGTACGAAAACTACCTGCAATGATTTTTCAACATATTAGCGAGTACTCTACACGATATTCTAAAAATTACTCGACACTGAGACGCGAACACTCACAGATTCGACCCAACGGTATAGTTCAGCCCAATAAAGTTACTATTGAGTAAATTGCATATTCTCAAATTTACGTGAATAAAACTTAATTTTGTTTAGAATATACTTAAGAATAGATATTTCTTTTTTGCTGGTGTGGAATAGAAACTACTATATGCGATTTACTCCAATTTGGGTTATTGGGCTGAACCCGGCAATCGAGGGAAAAGTACTTAATTTTGGGTAGTTATTCATCTCCGTGTAGGGTGATGGTACGGAACGAGTTTCATCGATTCCTGCAAGACGGTGGGGCGACATCTGGCGTTGAGTAGATGTTGAAGTTTTTAAAATGACCAGTTCGATCTCTTCTCACTCCCTCATTTTACACCGGTGGTAGATATTGACTGCTATTATTGTACTGTTGGGGTTTCTGTTGACGAGTCGTAGCAAGCTTTGGAAATGCAGCATCATTCCGTTGCTATGTATTTTCCTTAGCAACTCAACCACTGTATTATACTGACCTGAAATAAAGATGTTCTTCATTAATTGTTCAACCATCAACTCGACTAGATGTCTCAAGTTATTTCTCCCCAAAAGTCTATTCCTGCTTCTAAAACCTCGAACAGGTTATGGGCCCAGACGGAAGCTCCTGATCGGAAAATTGAAGGTCAAGGATTGCGGAATTCGGCGGACTTGTGAGTGTTGCGTCGAAGGGAAGATGGCACGGCCATCGTTTCCCCAAGCAGCCGAGAAAATGTCACAAGGGGTATTAGATATCGTGCAAACCGATGCATGTGGTCCTATGACGACATCGCCAGGCGAGTGACGGTATTACATGACGATGATTGATGATCATAGCCGCTATGTTGTCGTCTATTTCTTGAAGGAAAAGTCCGAAGTTGCCGACAAGATCCGTGAGTATGTGAGGTTCACTGAAACTCAATTCGGGTGGAAACCGAAGGTCATCCGTTCAGACCGGGGTGGTGAGTATACCAGCAATGCCATGCGCAAGTTTAACGCAGAAAAAGGAATTAAGGCTGAATTCACCGCTGGGTATGGCCCACAACAGAATGGCGTAGCTGAAAGAAGAAATAGGACGTTAAATGAGATAGGATTTTGTATGCTGTTGGATGCTGGTTTACCTCGTCGTTTTTGGGCAGAGGCTGTGAATACCGCGGCGTATATCCAGAATCGACTGCCATCATTAGCTTTTTTTGATCGACGCCTTACGAAATCTGGTTCGGCACCAAACCCGATTTGCAGCACTTGAAAGTGTTCGGTTGCAGTGCATACGTGTGGATTCCGCCACAAAAAAGAAAGACAGCAAAGCCTATCGTTTGCTGAATAAGTCTACTGACCAGATAGTCATCAGTCGTGACGAACGATTCTTGGAGCTCGATGAAGAGGATAAAAACGTGAGAGATGGAACCATCCGTAACCTATCAGGTAAGCCGCACTTTTTTTTTGACGTAGGACTACGTCTGTGATTTCTATATGGGGGTACACTTAGTGAAAACCGACAATGGAATATGTAACAAAATTATGAAAGATTTTGAACGTTAATAACTCAGCGGCCCCTGGACCAATTTCAATAATTTTATCACCAATCTTTCAGAACTATTCCTACGCATCTGTTGAATTTAAGACTTTATTATTTTACAAAAGGCCACTATTGAAAATTGCTCGAATGTGCAATTGTTGCTACGTTAGTTAAAATTATTATCGATTGCCTGCGAAAAGCGATTTCCCTAACACAGATTTCAAAGTCCTACGTCACCTTTGCGTACAACCCCATAGGGCTTTCCCTTATAGTTTTTTTTTTTTGTTCGGAGCATAAAACCACTGCGACCAGTAATTTGATCTATTGTAGTATATCCCGTGTCCTTAGTTTCGTGCATGTCGTATTACTCCATAACTATTGAGAAATGATGAAGTATTCGGTTTTGATACAGTTTTCATTCTTGCCTTCATCGCAAGGAATCGATTCTAATTTTAAAGGTCCCGCTATTTATACCCTTCGGAGTGTTGAAACATCCTCCAAAGGCGCGCCCCTTTGTCAGTCAAAATTGGATTCCTTAGCAACAAAAACAAGCAATGACACCGATAATGACCATTAGACTGCCAGCGAATATGGTAATTTTTAATTTCGCTAACAAACCATATACAAAATGTTTATTGCCTCGAAAAATGACCCTATGCAAAATTTGAGCTCAATCGGACATGATTTAGGGGTGGCACAAACGCGTCAAAGTTTGACTTTTTTCACTCTCGAAAATCTCCCAAGGGGTTACATGAAATTTCGGAAATAAAAAAAAAATTATGCCAAATGTCTTAAAAATGCATGAAACGTCGAGATTTGGTGTTATCTCGAAATTTTTTTTTTTCAAAAATCGACTTTCTGGGACTTAGAATTTTTTTCATGAGTTCTATATGGAATATAGAAGATTGATGAGTCGGCTTCTATAACTGAAACCACAACTTTTCATCAGAAATTCCTAAAATCAATTGTAAAAATATCTTGAATTGCGTTAATCTGTTTTTTTTTTGGGAATCATGAATATAATGGAAAAATGACAACTCCAACAAAAATATGTTGTATGGATGACTTTTAGGAAATTGTCCAAATTATCGAAAAAAAAAATACTGACAAAAAATTTCATTTGAGACCTACACTGAAAAAAATCGTTTTTTAAAATTTAAAGTCAATTTAAAAAAAATGGCCATGTTTGATTTAGATGAAACTTTGCCTCAAAATAGGTAATTATGTTTACTACCAACCGTCCATACATCGCGAGAAGGGCACTTTTAAGGAAAAAAAAGTTTTTCTTACAAAAACTTTTTCATGTCTGAACTGATTTTTTTTTTTGATTTGCCATTTTTACACAAAACTAAACCAGTGAAGCTCAAAATCATCTCAGAACCCAATGAAGCTTCATTTGTGATTCAATTTTGTCTAATCAGCAACTATCACTTGGATTAATCGAGAATTCCATATGAAAAGGGCTTATATCATTAGAAAATAATATAATTGATTATATTGTCTACTACTGAGGCAAAATCCGATACTCCTATAGT